TTCTGCTTATTAGCACATACTGATGCTTCTGCTGCCTCAATGTTATCTATGTTGGCATTTGCAGCCTCACTTGACTCACTCTAGTATGACACATTACGGCTTGCACCAATAAATCCTTTTGATCCAGCTCTATTCTCATGTGTGCCCTCTCCCTTCTCTTCCATCATGCTCAAGTGTCTGGGATCTGTGTTTGGCACTGATAGCAAGCCTAGATGACATTTCTTCCTGTTGGGTTGCAGCAGGGTAAGGCTGAGATGCCATCACAGAGGGGTTTGTGACAAGCCCTCAGACCTGAGAGCACAGTGCAGAGGAAGGGGATGCAGCCCGTGACCCCATCAGCACTGGCACGCTCCAGTGCTGCTGAGCCACCGTTCATAATCACCTGTGCTCACCAGGGCACTTCCAGGGCTGCTTTATATCCCTGTGTTCTGCCTCACCTCTGGCAGGGAGCAATGAATACAAATAGCTAGGGATACATAGGTTGAACAGCCTTACAGCAGGAGAGCATCTGCACGGGGAGCTCAGCACTCAGCCCCCTGTGCCCTGCCCAGCGAGGCAGGAGAGACGACATCTCTCACCAAGTCCCCCATATGCCTCATTTTTGCTCCAAGAGCCTCTTTAAAAGTCAGATTAAAAAGCAGCAAGCTCGGAGAATTATTCTGAAACATCAAGCCCTTTCTTAACCAGGTAAACTACTTCAGCCTGCAGCATAATCAGAGGCCATAGGATCACACAAATTGTAATTAACTTGCTGAAGTGGGTCAGGACTGTGTGTATTGCAGTGCAGGGGTACTCTGGCTTTAATGATTTCAAATATTTTGAGAAGCAAACTGAAAACACTTAGTCAAATTAAGTGTTTTCTTTAAGCTGTCAGCATTGCAAGCACTGCCAAGATGAACAGGATAAATTGGATTAGATGAAGTCTATATGCTTCGAATCCTAATGGCAAAGGATCCAAAATGTAAAGTAGTGCACAAAGGCAAAGCAAATATTATATATTGTCTGTAAAGCAGCAGATCTCAATTTACTGATTAGCCAAATAGTTTGAAAATAGCATGACTCATCTCCAGAGCAGCCGAGTGTTGCTGCTGGCTCCCATGCAACCCAGTTGGTGAGTGTGAAAGTCTCTGCCTGCTAAATGATGGGTCTTACAACTGGGGAAACAGCACAATTTTGATTCTACTCAAGATAAGTCCTGTCACTGCAGTCTGGCCCCAAACAATTCAGGCTTAAATACAGACTGAAGAATTATAATGCAGGTGGTTATTTAGGTTAAATATGAAAGTGAAATCATGTTACACAAGGTACCCACATGAGTCTTGGGCCAATGGTTATCTGCAGGCAGGGATGCAGCAATCAGGTTATGAACTGGGACAGCAGTAGGAGCTAGCAGAGGTGGAGGAAGAGCTTCATCAAAACAGCCGCTGCACTTGTCCCTGTGTCAGAGACAGAGCAAAGGAGCCTGCACAAGAACCATGGCCTAGAGAGGAGCAGAGAGCACCAGTCCAGAAATCACACTCAGGCAGAACACACAAACTGATATGAGAGCTGGAAACAGGGCTAGAAACTATCGTGTTGGGGGGGTTCATTCAGGTTGGAGGGATAATCACAGCCAAGGTTTTGAAGGGGCCACACAGAAATCTGATTGTCCCCTTCTGTACCCTCCAGTCATCAACACTCAGGGCATAAAGCCCCTTTAACAGACTATGCTCCAATTTTGAAGTTTCTTGCCTCTCTTTGAGAGCTACTTGCAATACTTTTCCTCTACTGAATGGAAACTATCCTTTAATTGCTGGCCTGAATTCTCCATTGGTGGTTTCAATCTGTTTGGTTTGGTGACAGTACTGCCTATTAGCCTAAATAATTTAGACTTTATTTACCCCCCAACCCAAATTATTCCATGATTCTATGTCCTCATGATGTCTGCCCAGTGCTCTGCAACAGGTAGCACTTAATTCATGCTGGAAATTCATGATTGATTGGAGATATGAGCACTAAGCACCTCAGAGTTAAGGCTAAAGGGTCTCCTTTAGCCTTGCTTACCCCAGCGCATTACTCTCATCCATAGTTCCTAAAATAAAGCAGAAAAAAAACTGGCCAATGTCTTGGAAAATTAAAGCCAATGGCAAAATATGGAATAAACCCCAAATAAGCCATTTACTTCAGCCATATGAACACAAATATCAAACAAGAGTATCTAAAACATCAACAAATTATGATAAGTAGCTAAAACACAGAAGTTGTCATCACCATGTCTGGACAGAATTTTGACAAGTCCTCAGATAAATCTTCTCCATCTCCCTTTTCCACGCTATGTTGGTATTTTGAACAGAAATTCTCAAGTCAAAAGACACACATCAATTTTTAGTTCTAGCAAAAAAAATAAAACCAAACTAGACATACAAAGCAGATGCTTTTCGCTCAAGCTTTTTTACATAAAAATCTATTCTCTCATCACAAAGTTGGTTCGAAAATTTTCTGAAGAGTTCTAAACAGTAGCAGTAAAAATGGTTCCCAGTGGAGACTACAGGTGCATGATGCATCTGTTCCTCTGACAGTGTACAAATCCTTTAAAAATAATAAAAGGCTTCTGTTTAGCTAGGGAGTGCCACCAAGCATTAGAGAGGGATCAGCTTCAAAGTTCAGCTTTAAAAATGTACTGTATTAAAATAAGAAATATCAGTTATGTAAGGAAAGATGTTTGCATGGAGGATTCAGTCCTGTAAATTGAGCATGTCTCAGTGCTGTACCAAAGTGACTTTTTGTCATGCCCCACATAAACTGCATCTTTAGGAAAATAATAATAAAAAACATTAAGAAAACCAAAGGGATCTTATAGAATACATTTTAGAGGATCCAAGAGGGAAAGACTTAGCTCCCACAAATGCTCGATGCAGCTGATCTCAAGGTAGATATATATTATTGAAGAGCAGTTAAGAGACATCCACTTACAGAAGACCTAGCAATGATCTAAGTTTGATAATAAGTTTGATATCTGTACTACAGCAGAGTAGTTGCTGTGATAGAGAACTGAATGATAACAGGTCTGGCATGGAGATATCTTCAAAAACATCTCCAAAATACCAACAAACAAGTTGTTTCTTTTTATCTCCCCTGTATAATGAATGCATTTTACAAGATGATTGTCTTTTACTATGTTTTCTTTTCTCCAAGCATGCATGAGAAGAGGAGCAGGGAGAGACTGTGTCATGTTCCCCTGTGTATTTTAGCACAAAGTAAAGTCAGGGAAGTTGTATAGCAAAGAAATTGCCCAGAAAAATGTAACATTCAAAAAAATGGCACCACACAAGACAGAAGGATAATTGGACGACCTGCATTGAAGGAGTTTATTCCAGGTAATTCAGTGCAGTAGAGGGGTCTAGGGTGCAGGATCAGAAATCTAAATGGTTTGAAATCACTTCCCAAAACAGACTATTTAGTATTTGATTAGGATATCTGTGCAATAAGTTACAATGTTATGTCATTGCACAGTTGTGTGTGTTCCAGGCCAACAAAACCAAGGTGAACAAATGCAACCACCTGACCCCCAGACATGAGCACTTCTGCAACACAAGCTACTGAATTATAAGTCTCAGAATAAAAAAATACTCATTATATTTTTAAATTACTTTCTGAGACTACTAAATGCTGTGTTTGTGGTAATGAACAAGGAAGAAACAGGAGCAACATTTAAAAAGAGTGGCTTGTATTCTGATTTTCCTTTCTAAATAAGTGCCAAAACTGACAACTGAAATTAAGACAATATTTCATTCAACTTATTTTAATAAATTTTTAAAACTAGTATTAAAACAGTACCTTTAGGCTAAACTTTTATAGAAAGACCGGCTATTGAATAGGATGATGTGACCAAAAATACTGGTCTTTGAAGGGATAAAAATCAGCTTTTGAAAACCATAGCTGCTTCTGCAGCTGCAGGGAGGACATTTTCTTGGTGTCAATTTATATTTCATTTCCTTTATCTCAATAGCCGATTCATTCAAGTTCAGACACTGATGAGGAGTTGAGATGCAGGAATGTTTTTTGCTCTCTTGCAAATGATCAGAGCAGACCAGCATTAAAGCACAATCCACTACATCTAAATCCTCAAGGGACAAATGGTGAAAAAACATCAGATTGATTAACTCAGGGCATTTTTCCTTTGTCAATAATTTATCAAGTTTTGAAGTACAAGATACTTACCTTTATTTTCCGATACATCCAGCAAACTTCACACAGCCTGAACTGGCAAATAAAATGCCTTCATAAAGCATGTGGTTCGTGATTTTACTTGAATTACAATTTTCATCCAAAGCACTTTGTCATGAATCACAAATTAAAAACATCATCACAGTAATTGGAAAGATCAAGCAGCATATGCTGAGATGACGCAGGGCAAACAGGGACAGGTAGAAGTCTTGATGACAATGGGGAGGCAACAGAGGCTCTGCAGCTTTCACAGGTCCCAGTGATTTAAGTCACACCCCTTTGTTCAATGCCATTTGGTTGAGCTGGAATGTAAGCCTTTTTGAGCAAAGTATGAGATGACTTATTAAAAGGAATCTATTGCCTCCGAGTATCTTCTCTACAGATCTAGACAGCTTCTTAATTTGTATTAAATTACATTATTACGTGTATATGCAGCGCTTTACCCACCTGTTTCTCACAAACAAGTACCAAATGTCCTGTCCTGCTGGTGAAAGCTAAGACTGAACCTCTCCCAAGCAGAACGAACTCTGTGCTGCAAATGCAGAACAAGTTTTAAAACATACTATTTACATCAAAATCAAGACACCTGACAATTTAAATAATATTTGATTCAACAAATTTTTGTAAGTAAGGAAGGAAAAAAAAAGAGCTAATGAGGGTTCACACATTGCCAGTCAGATGAAGTCTATCCTACCAGTATGGACATGTGGGACCTGTGTTAGAAACAAGTCCTCTCAACTGGTACCCCTAAAGAGACACCATATTTAGAGTCATTTATACTCACAGACCTTTATTTGATTATCATGGTCAATCGATCAGTACCTCTTTGTATCTCTCTGGCGTAAAAATGCCTGTCAGAAAGTAGACAGCACATTAATTTTGCATTATTAAACATGTTCACCTGTGGTTTCTAGTCATGATCAATTTTATTTTCAGTCATGTTGGATTTTATTAGCAAATCTTTTTTCCTCATCAGCCAAGATAAAGATATTGTGCCATCAAGTGAAAGTCAACTTTCCAGAGAGAATTCCAGTTTTTCTTTACATTTTCAAGGTTCACAGATAGCTAGAAAATTAAATAGTTCGGGAGAAGACCAAAGCATTCAGCCAAAGCATTTCATTGGACTTGAAATTTAGCTGTTGAATGCTTATGTTGCTGTTTACAAGTCTGATCAGTCCATAGTCATCATGGAATACCATGGCTATGAACTTTCACCAGGAAAAAGAAGGCTTGTAATGAAATCAGTGGAGACGCAGCTTCACCAGCTGCCTGAGCCCACAGAGAAGAATGTGAACACAAACCATCCACAGAAATACATTCAAAAGAGTAATGTTTCCATTATCACCAAAACTTATCTTCTATATTCCTGCTGTGAAATAGATTTTTGCATGAGCTGGAATTGTTCCCTACCACAGTCCCTGTTCCCCATGTCCCCAGCTGGCACACTGGAGCATGGACCACTTTCTGATTCTACAGATGATATCCTAGTTATAAATAGCATTAATTAAAGAATTAGAGTCATGGTATGCAACAAGGCATCACTGATTACCCTGGTCTTGCATGGTCTGCTCAGAGCAAAACCTCCCCTGAATAACTTCCAATACAACCTCTAAGAAGAGGCGCAGTAAAAAACCAGCAAGATGACAGGGTTTATGGGAACAGAGCAGACATTTCTCTGGATGTAGATATTTCCAAAAGGACTGTACTTAGAGAAAATAATAAGGAATGGCAAAAGAAAACCTGTTTAATCTACATGCTAACTACCAGTCCTGCAAAGGCTTAGAGTGATGGTTCACTTCTATAAATGGGGCTTTTCAAATTGCTGCGTTCTGCCCCAAATCCTGCAGCCAGCCATTCCTGCTGGCAGGTTTCCAGCAGCCTCCAAGTAGAGAAGGGTCTGGATTTTACTACTGACTAGTCACCAGTTGAAGCTTGGGCCATATGAATGGGGCCCCTCTGACAGCCTTATTAACACAAATGATTTTTATTCTGCATGCCTGGGTAAGCCGTGGGCACATGCCTGCAAGATCAAAGCCTTGGTCATTAATAACTTGGGCAATCGTTTCACCTAGAAGCCACACTCTGTCTACGCAGAAATCTTTCCGGGAATCTGGTAAAAAGATTGATGAAAATTAAACATCTACTTAGTGAAGCTGAAGTAACCAATATATGATTAATACTTTCCAATTATATTTCAGTACAGTACATTGCTGAGTTTGTTATTACCTGCACTCTTAACACTCCATCTGCAGTGTTAAATCCATCTGTTGCTGAAAATATGACTATATCTTCAAGGGTTTCTGAATCATCGTGCTGGTACCTTTTAACATAATTATAATGAAGAGTGATATTCATTATCCAGCGGAAATTAGAAACCTATAAATATGAGGGGAGGGGAGCAAGGGAAGAGCTGAGGTCCTGCATTGCCCACTGTCTCAATTGATCATGTTGGCTGCTCCCACTTGAAATATTTCTCTGGGCTCTGGATTTAGCACCAGCAGTCCCACTGGTTTCACTGGTGTTTCACTAACGCCTACCATGGGACCTGGTCCCTCAGCTTCATTCTGCCAGATGGAGGTGGGCAAAAGAAGTGGTTTAATGACTGACATCCACATCAGGGTATGGAGACAGCACAAACCTAGACTGTGCACCATGGCCAAAGCTTCTGGTGGAGCAGGACACCAAACCCTGGGAATTCCTCACCTGTACGAGGAGTAATGGTGTCCTTATCACATGGGTTGTTGCCAGCTGAGATGGCAAGAAAAAAGTTCCAGTCGTTTCTACCTTTGAGAAGGATTTAAAGCAGAGGGTGCTATTTCTAAACACTCAGATATATTGTCCAAATAAATATATCATATTTTTAAACGTATATCTTAGATGTTTAAGAACCCCCTCTTTAATACAGCAACAGCTGGTTTAAATGTGCCTCCAGGTAACAGAAGGGAAAGCTTATGCCACAGTCTTCCTTGAATTCTCCACCTCCTTCCCTGTGCCTTCATAGGATCCAACCTCCCAAAATCATGAGGCTCCTTTTTAAAACATTTTTTTTTTAAAATACAAATTTTCAGACACCATTACACAGTTACGGATAAGATATAGGCTTCACTTTTCCCCCCAAATCCCAAAGCAGTGGGTCTATTTTTGAGACTCTGGGTAATAATCAGCTGCGGAGAACTTTAAAGAAAGAACCCAAATAAATTAGCTGATTTTAAAAGCCTGCAAACAAAGATCCTTCACCTTGGCAAGTCCATGCAGATCAATGAAATTGGACAGAGGAAGTTTATTAACTAGAAAAAACTTTCAGATCCTCATGGGAATGTGAAGGAGTGGTTTATTTTGCTGCATCCAGAGGAACCCTACCAGGATCCAACCCTTCCACCTACAAACCTGCCTGCATTTGGGCCTGGAAGAGGTTCTCTGATACTCAGCAGGTGTGTCTGTGCTTTTGGAATAGGAGGAATCTTCCTCCCCCTGCAGATTTAAAAGCTTGAAATGTGTGTCAGCTGATCCAAAGGCTCTGCCAGTCCCTATTTTAGAGTTTAACAGGACTGCCTGGAATCTAAGTGGCACAAGTAACCATTTCCAGTCCTCTGATGAAAAGCTTGTGCTTAAAAGGCTGTGGAGTTCCAACTTGCAAGACTAAATTTGGGTGAAAGAACACTCATACTACCAAGTGAGATGTTTTCATCCTGCCACCACGATCAAAGCAGTGAGTAGAAAACCAGCTTAATGATATATTTCTTCACACCATACTGATGGTAAAACGCAGCCCGTTCCATTGAGTAAAATCTCCCTTGGCCTCTAACTCCAGCGGGGACGAAAACCTTTCTAATCTGCCTGCTCCAGGAAGGTTTTATGCTCCTACAACCAGTATCCTCTGTGAGATAAAGAGGATAGTGTAGGGCCCTTAGGAAACCACAAACTGTCCATGGGGCATAAGCTTACGAAGAACATTCTCTCTTTCTTAGGAGAAATTCCTGCCTGCTGGTATGAAAGATGGACAAAAAATAGAAGAAAGATGAGGCTATCTGTCTGTCCAAGGCTGTTGACTGAGAAGCAAAGCTGCTGTGCCTTCTCAACAACATAAGGGGACAGAGGTGCTTTCCCCTTTGACATTAAAACAAGGGCTAAGTGGGATGTTTTCCCACTGTGGTGTTTTTTGAGGCTCATAGAATCAAGCTTTCTCATATTTGAAAGAAATCCACAGGGTTAATAGCCAGAGGCACGCAGCTAAAGTGTAAGTTTGAGAAAGACAAGAACAAGATGAACCAAAAAGAAAACACTGTAGATGAGTTGCAATATTTCCACAGAAAAGAAAATGGGCTCGGAGTTTTAAAAATATCCTTTAGAAAAAAAAGCATAGCAATTAAAGCTACTGAGCTGACTGAAGAAGCTTCAGCATTGCTTTCCTCTTACTAAGCTTTTATTGCTTTCTTTGGAATATAATTGGTGATAATTTTCTACTTAGAGTCTGACACAAACCTTACAAGTTACCAGAGCTACTTGAAAAAAATTGGATAGGTTTAGCTTTATTTCTCTCCATAAACAATTTTCTATTGGAAGTAGTGAAGTCTCTTGCATGCTTCCAAGACTTCAACTGCCTATTATTATTTCCCAAATAATCCTTCCCTATGGTTGCATGTTCTTCACTACAAGTAACTCACTTCTTTTCTGCTCTCTTACTGTTCTAGACAAATTGTTCTTAGGGCAGAGTTTAACCATTTAGCAGAAGAATATAGTCTTAAGCATTATAAGCTTTACACAACACACTCAAAATTCACCCTGCACAAATATTCATTTAATACTAGCAGGAATTTTGCTGATCCCCCTAACCTACCTGGGATTTTAATATTTGCTAAAATACTTAACAAAGATTGCACGCACACATACAAACCCCAGGTGGAATAAATTTGATGAATAATTCTCGTTTGTGGAGAAAATGCTTGCCTGGCTCTTTTCAAGGAATGTAAGCACCTTGAACAAGCTTTATGCTCTGACTTTAGCAGGGACTTACTTACTAAATGGTACAACAAAAGAACATTTAAAACTATAGGAAGAAGTCAGGCAATAAATGTGTGGAACCAGCTGCAGGGCATATAATACAACAAAGGAATCGACAAACCTGGATTTTTCAAGCAATGTCATGGAAAGAACTCACCAAGGTAGAAAACGCTCCATAGAGGGAACTTTCCTGTCAGATGGGTTGAAGTGCTGGCAGGGAACAGAAACACCAGTGTTGTGTACAGCTCACAATTTTCATTTTCGAGTGAATGAAATGAGATGTGAGGTTTGACTGGTTTGGCACAGAAACTGCAAATCTCTTACTCTGAAGAATCAGAAGTGAGCACACTCTACCATAGGGAACACACACCCAGGAGCTTGAGCAGGTCTTGGAAATCCGTTGTCCATTATCAAAAAGGCTTACATGCTGGAAAGTAATGGTGTCCATACAGGACAAATTTCAGTGAAACACTAAGAAAATCACTGATTTTGGCCCCCTTTTCAAGAATCATAGAGAAGATCTCAAGTATCTGCACTAATAGGGAACATTGTTCTCTACCGTGAGGCTGCACAATGTTCAACTCCCCCTTAAAACAGTGGGAAATGGGAATTGGAAGGTGATCCCAGACTTCTGCCTATGCTTTAAATTCTACTTTTGTGCTCATTTGGTGTATTTAATGTAAAAATTTAGATTTCAATAAGCATCATTTGTTGTCATGCCTCATCTGTTTATGAAAGCAGAGCTTTTCAAACATGATAATAATTGCAAATGATGTCAAATGCTTTCCTTGTTTACCTGAAAGATGTCAAGAATAGCAGGACTTGTTTTGCTTTGTGGGTTTTTAGGCTGTAAAAATTAGCTTACCCACACTGTAAAAATTAGTAAGAGGGAAAAATAAATGTTAGATCTTTTCCCTATCACCTTATAAAGTGTAATTCAGCTCGACAGTTTCATATGTACACAGGAGAAGTGAGAGAAACAAAGCACTAACAGCACACGAGTTGATTGTCTGGAGATTGGGCCTCTGGAGAGTAGAGCTGATGCCTAGTGATGGTGCAAGTTTCTTTAACAACAGGTTGTGTAGTTCCAGGCTCCCTCTGGCTCATGTAACACAAGGAATCAGTCTTAAAGATGGCTGAAAAATATGGAGATCCAGCATATGGTATCTGACCACTGACTGATCCCACTCTGTCGGTACCAGCTCAACTCTCAGCTCATCAGTTCATAAAAATTCTATTTTGATGTTGTTTTTTTCCAGTGTCTTAATATTTCTATTCATTTTCTATATTTGTTTAAGTGTTGCAAAGAAGCAAATTCAAGCAGCATACCTAAAGAAAAGAAGAAAAATAAAAAGTCAATTGGTCTTCCTGCTTTTGCTTTCACCTGTTTTAATACTGGTGAAAATCCAGAGCAACTCTGTTGATTTTAATCAAGTCATTCATGTAAAACAGGAACTGGACATAAGAAACACTGTGTTATTACAGATGAGCAGCTCCAGCCATCTCATTCCTGCACAATTTCCTATTATGCAATAATGTACATGGCTTTCATAATATTATGAATGCTATGTCATTTAAAAAAAAAAGCGCCATACTTATTTGAGCATCAAAGATTAGATAAATATCAGATAAAATGAATTTAAATGAATCCTGAAGAATCTCGTCTCCAAAATGTCAGCTGTAGACAAGGCTGTAGAAGAGATCCCTTTGCAAACACACTGACAAAGAGATTTCTTAAAAATACAAGGTCCGTCACAGATCATTGTAGCAGCCATTTGCTGCTTTTCTCTTATTACTCTTTTATTAATTCCAGCCCAAGGGAACCCTGTTCATCACACCAGGGGAGCAATAGCAGTGCATTGTCAGTTCTGTAGACAACTTACCCCTGATCCCCAAACATTTGTCATAGAATCATGGAATTGTTTAAGTTGGAAAAGGTCTTTAAGATCATCAAGTCCAGCCATGAACTCAGCACTGCCAAAGCAACCACTAGTCATTCCATTATTGAGCTGTACCAGGGACTGTCACCTCCCCAGGCTGCCACACCTGCTTGGCCCATCTGCAGTGGATTCCTTGATAATCCCACCAGCACTCCTTGGCTTGGTGGTTTTAGTGAGAGTATAATAATCACTTGAAAAAAACCCCATAAATAAAACATCAACATAGGTGTTTCAGCAAGAACCATCTTCTCTTTAGCAAGCTTGAAGTTGACACTGCTCACCAGGAGTGGCAGGTTGTCATCTATTGATGGGATGGCAACAGAAATCCATTACCTAACAGGAAACCAGTGTCTAATGCTTTGCCTTCCATCAAATATTATTAAAACCAATCCTTGCTTGTGTCTCTCATCGTGCTGGAAATAGGCAACTGCATCCTCAATGTTTTCAAACTTGAGGTTTTTGCCTCCTGTTATATAAATGCAGAAAGGAAGTTACCATGTGCTCTTTCTATCAACACAAATTACCAATAACATTTTCAGATTTAAGCAGAAGAGACACACGTCTTCTGTTCACCGTGTAAAGGCTGGATCCACTTAAAACCAACAGGAGCCTTTTCGTTCACTTCAGTGAACTTTAGATCACGTTCCAAAGAAGTGACATTATTATTTTTTCACCCTCAAATATACATTGGGCTGTTAGTAACCAGCCTGAAGTCTGAAGACTTTCACTGCAGAAATTCCAAAAGATGTGAAAATATGGGGGTTTTTTCAGAAGAACATCTAATAATTTTTCTAGGATGCATGCAGAAGAATCAAACGCTGCTTAGGAAGATTATGAGGATAAGTTTTACAAGAGAAATAATGCTTGTATTTTGTAGGCATTGTATTGCATCCCACAGTTCAGGTCACATCTGACACAACATACACTGCCTGCACTGTGATCCTTCCATGTTGGGAATGGATCACCAGGAACCGGACAGGATTCAGGCTATTGTCAGCAGCCTGTAGAGTATCACAGAATCATTAAGGTTGGAAAGGACCTGCAAGATCTTCAAGTCCAACCTTCAACCAAGTATCCCCACACCACTAAACCATATCACAAAGTGTCACATCTCGTTTTTTAAACACTTCCAGGGATGGTGACTCCACCACTTCCCTGGGGAGCCTGTTTCAATGCTTGACCACTCTTTCAGTGAAGAAATTTTTCCTAATATCCAACCCGAACCTTCCCTGGCACAACTTGAGGTCCTTTCCCCTTGTCCTATGTATTCTACATAACAGGGCATGGGCATTCTACAGTATATATACACCTGTATATAACAACTGCAGACTGATGATAAGGATTTACGCTGCTCTTCACAAAGAGCTACACAACAAAATACAAGGTGCCCAACCTTCTTGTATCCAATTTAAGAGGTTGATTTGGGGAAGGGAGGTTTTATAATGTTTATTTGATCCTGGAGGAACTATCCTGTTACCACACCAATAAATTTTGAGTCAAATACCACAATATTTTCCTGTATCAAGGGAATTGTCATGGCAGCAGGTAACGAAGAGTGACAGCTTTCTTCATGCAACCAGGCTGCTTGCTGTGTGCCAGGTCTGCATGAGCCTTGTGTCCTTCCAAACCAATATGTAAACCAGGAAATTTGACCTTTGGAGTAGAAACATAATTCAAAACCAGAAAGAAACAAAAAAATGTGTGCAAACAACCCTCAAACTGGCGAATTTAAAAACATATATGTTTTTTTCCTTTTTAATCACCTATATTGTGAGTAGGAAAAGGAACTAGATTAGAGTAACAGTAAAGCACTGAACTATTCCCCTTCTCTCCCAACCCAAAACCTTCTCCAAGTACATTCTCATCTTAAATTTAAGCAGAACGTATATACTGTCATCAAAAATACACTTAAAAGAAGTACTGCTGTGTGTAGTACTACCTTTGGAGTACTCTTAGCAGAACAGACTTTAAGGAAAGGCTTAGCAAAAGTTTCCAGGAAGATGTATGTGCATCTTGATGAAATATCCACTGGATTTTTGTTATCCCAACACCATAAAAATCATCATTTTGTAACAGCCTGACTACCCAATCACATTCTTTGGGAGTACATAAGCAGGCTAAAAGACCTCGAGATCACAGTGCATCTTTCTGTTCTCACTATGGATGTTGAAATTCTCTTCACTCGTGGAAATGTTGCCAGATTTTTTTTTGCAAAGTCATCAAAGAATGCAGAGTTTCTTAAAATAAAAGCCACCAAAAGAAGTCCAGAAAAGTGCCTCATATTTACAGGTTCTACACATACAAGAGTCTCCAGAATCACACTTGAATTTTTCAGATCTTAAAGATTATTTGGGTATCTAAATTCCTTTTTTGCTTAGAGGAGCTGAATGTAAAAATACTTTGAAGGATGGGCCTTTAACAGTGTGTGAGAACTGTAACTTCAGTGATGCAGTTTGACAGAGCAGCAACACTGCAGGTACAAGTGAGAACAAGCCAGACCCACTGTCATTTACCTCCCAAAATTCCAGATATTTCAATACTTAAAAACCTGTGAACAATAAAGTGTCTTTAAACCCTTTTTTGTCAGAGGCCTTCTGCTTTTATCCTTCAGCAGTCTGAAGGTTTGACTATTGCTAAGGACATCTCATTTGCAGTGAGGTAACTCCACAAGAAGAATTAGTGCCAACAGAGAAGGACCATGCCCAAGGTACATTTTTAAAAATCAGACTTCAAAGAACCACAACTCCACTGTCCCAAATGTACCTGCATTAACATGCATTCAAAAGCACCGTGAGCTCACACACTGAAGCAAGATCACATATAACCCTTCAAACCCATGTTCCATCCAACCTTGGGAGCTTCGGTCTTCACACTTCTTTTTTTTGAAAAATGGGCTGCAAGAGGAGAACTGCTCAGGAACACATTATCAGTTGCTTGAAACTCAGCCTAGCAAAACAAGCAAAACAAACACTCCCTGAAAGATTAATGCAGCATTTGCTGACTGGCAAGCTTGCTTTGGATGTAGTACAGCAGTCCTGATTGCAGACAGCCCGGCTCCATGACTTCATAGACCTGTCTCTTGGCATGAGACATGTCAGGAGGCAGGTACCAATTCCCAGATCATAGAGATCCTGCCGAGTGAAGGATGTCTTGGTTTGTGCACAGCTCTCCAAATGGGTGAACTGTCCCTGTAGCAGGGGTTTAGCAATATGAAACATTATTTTTTACTTCAGTGTTTTTACATCTTCAGCATCTTGAACCGTGGCAGTAAGTGCACAAGGATAAGCTGATGAGCTTCTAAGCTGAAATAGAGACAAATGCAGCTTCATGTTGTGTTTGTAGTATCTCCCTTTATCGGGACATAAGTCCAAACATTTTCTGTTTACAAATAAGAAAGCCCGGGAATCTTTTGCATACATATTAGCAAGGGCATGGGAATTCCCAAAGGCGGGTGAGTGCACACGCGTGGGTGTGTGTATATATAGACATCAAGCAACTCTTAGATGCATCAACAAGTTACTGGGATAGTGCTAAAGAATTAACAGTTAAACACAACAATTATCTTCTAAGCTTTGCCTCAGACAGTCAATAATCTTGTCCCAACTGATGTGGCTGGCAAACTTCCCATTCAAAAGGGCAGGATTCTCCTTTAGCCTCTTGAACAACTGCACAAAGAAGGGTGATACATAGGCTAGCAGAGATGCATAGAGCAACTCGAGAATTAATTTCTCAGATTTTGGCACTTGTTTTTTATTAGATATGTCAGTTAAATGTAGAAAGACATGGTGTGATTGAAAAGCCCCTGAAAACTTCAAAAGCCCAGTTTGCACTCATTCATCCAGCTTGGATTCTGAATGGAAAAGATGCATACACCCTCCACAGGGGAGACAACACACAGGGTGTTAAAAATCCACAAACATAACTTGTTTGTGTGCAAAACTGGCCATAGATACTTCTGATGAAGGCCCAGCTAGCAGACAAAAATCCTCCACATTAGCAAGCTACCACTCCTCTACTTTTTAGAAATAAAATTACTTTAATTCAGATTTTTCAAATCAATCCCCTTTCCTTCTGCTTGATTTTTTCAGATTTTCAGGTAAATGCTCATCTTCCTCTACCACTATTTGACCTAAAGCAGCAAGAATGTCCCCAAAGCCATGATCCATGCAGGTAGCCTGTACAGTAAACAAAGGCTGAGATGTTTCTGCCCTCCTCTGTCAGACGTGCCAAGCAATTCATGGAATTCCAGAGGCATTTGTCCAACGGGAGGAATACTTGACTCCAGCTTCCTGATCTGTACGTGAGGAACAAGTATTTCTATGATAGTCTCCAGTTCAGTAAACCTGAAAGCAGAGGATTTATTACATACAGGATCAAGAAGCCTTTCCTTTGATCATTTATACAGTGATCTGTGAATGAATGCATTCAGAACCCAGCTCCAGCACACTCTGAAATATTCATGGACTCAGCCAAGAACAATATCCTTAATCCTTATTGGAGAGCAGATCCTCTGCTGGGGAATGGCACAAGGAAACCTGGTTGACTTCAGTGGGAAAACAATAGTTTACGCAAGCTAAGAATGTTACGTTTTTGCACACTGAGATCTTCTTTGTAAACAGTGCTTTAATACCCATCTGTAAGCCAGATAATAAACACTTCAGATAAATCACGGGGAGGTTTAGAGAGTCCTATGCGCTCTCTCAAGCTTTCAGTTGAAGAGTAGAGGCCAGAAGTCAACACTGATTACACCTCAGCAGCAACTAACCATGATAAATATCAAAGTCAAACACTTTGGGTCCATTTCTTTAAGCTCTCTGTTGTGTTTCTGAAGAGCTCTCTTAAGACCTCTGCATATTTTATTCTATGGTACTTACGTACTTACACCCCATGCTCGAGTAGGGCTGGATGTACCCACTGAGGCTTGAAACATCAGGTAGGACTGCCAGAATATTTCTTTCTCCTGTAAATCAAACAGACAGTTCCATAGTGCCCACAGCCAGGTTTCCCCATGATCCAGCCCCTCATTCAGCCATAGCTTGTCCCAGAACTAGGACAGCACCTGCAAGTTTTTGGCACTTTGAAAGGAATTGTTCATACAGCCCAAGCACTTGTGGGTTTAAGTTGTAGGAAAGTCCCAGTCAATTAGAATTAGCCAAGGACATCAATGTTTGTTGAGGAGTTTTCTTTCACACTTGGCTAAGGTGTGGTTCTGAAATGTTCTCGTAATAGCTACCACAATTAACAGCTGAGGTTATTCAGAAGGACATAAAAAATGAGGTAGCAGACAACTTTCAAGAGAGGTGAGCCTTTCAAAACCACAGATGACACAAAAAGGCAAGGACAATAATCACCTCCAACTCAGTATTAAAACACAGGAGGCGGCACTCCCTTAAAAAACAATTCTTCATTGATTCAACCTAACTTACTGGGCTTAAAATTTAAGTCACATTATCACCGAGCTCCCACCAGTAAGTCTCAGTCTCACACCATCTTCTTCCAAAAAATGGTCAGCCATTCATTGACAGTATACTTAACTTCTTAGTGACAATCAAACTTTTTGTTAAGATAAATGGTACAAACAAGCTGGTAAAGAAAAAACCCATCATTATTTTACCAGCCAAATCCTACAGTGTTGACTCAGGAGGCACCTGAAATTTTGCTTACATAAGTACTGGATGCTTGAGCTCATGTTAAAACAGTCTCAACAACATTTTAAGTTTTAATAGAATAACTTTCATGTTATAACTTCATTCAATCATTTATGCAGCAATAATTTAAGATAGGAAATAAAGAGGAAAAAATTGCCTTTGTACAAGTTATTCTATTAAGGACTGGAATATTAATGTTATTGGATACATGAAACCCTGTGCAACCATGGAAACCATTGCACAGGATCCAGTCAGCCTCCAAAGCTGAGCTGTGGCCTATGGTTGCTATGAGAGGATATAGCACACACCCCTCAGCAGTTCTTGTTAGAAAGTTCTATTGTGCATTTGTCTACACTTCATCTCAGCATAAAGCTATTTGTGGAACAGAGGTTAAGGAGAGGGTTCTGAAATCTGAAAACATACCTTTCAGATTAATCTAGGAAATCAGATGCTGTTTTGCAACAGTTGGGGCTTATTTGTGACAATTTAACTGATGTCTTCCCTTGCTCTGAAAAGATAAAAAAGGGTATAATGAATTTGACTTGGAGAAGTTAGGGATTATTTTATATTCCTGGAACATATTAGTTTCCTTTCCAAACTCATCCTCAACCCACTCTTACTACAGACCACCTGGAGAAATTGGTGATAAAGAAACACTCCCCCTAGATTCTGCTCTTTTTAAAAAAAATTAAATTGCAAAATTTGAAGGAAAAATATAAACAGAAATCTTCTGAAACACAGTAAACTCAAACCTGTAGCTATCATTTAATCTATTATCTTTTCTAATTGCGAGAACAATTACACTAGGAACAATTGCACGGCAAATAAAAATGTCTCAACATACCATAAAAAAGCCTGAAAATCAAACAGAAGTTTCCTGAAAGGTTTATGAACTCTCATTTGAGAGAATGACATCTGCTAGCAGGGTGGGTTGGGAAAAAAAATTTCCTGTGAAAAACATGGAACTTACCTAAACCAATACTTGCACTTTTGTTTAAAATGAGTTATTAAGTCTTCAAAGGCAGTGATCTCTGCACCAGCTCCTCTGGCAACAGCTCTCCCCACACCAATTTTCCATGCCCAATGCGCTATCCTCAAACCACCCCATCCCTCTTGGCATAAGAATGATCCCATATCCAAAGCATTCATTTTCCAATTTTCTGTGTCACTGTCTCATTTAAAACCTCTCTTCCTACCTTGCAGGACCCACTTTCTTTGGGAAGATCGAGCTGTAGTTCGGTCTCCGTATCGAACACCATCTGTCCCCTCTCTGTGCTGATGCCTGTTCCCCAAGAGAAATTTTGCTGTTTCTACATATGCAAGATGCACCAGAAATACCAGAATATCCTACTTGAGAAGACTGAGCAGAGCTTTGATCCTCTGAGCCCAGGTGCATCCTTTACTGTGGTTGAAGTGCTCAGTGGATGACAGGCTAACGCTTCAGTGTTCGCGTCTGGGAGTCAAGAAACAGAGCAGCCTTTCTGCTCAAGGAAGGCTTGGAATTGCTTCCAGCTTTACTGCTCTCAGAAGGAGTTTTATTCATATTTCATTTTAAAGTCTATAAAAAATTGACACAGTTTCCTCCAAGCTGTTGCGGGTGCATCTTGCTCCGTGTCATTCGGCGGCCCGGTGGCCACTGTTGAGCAGCTCGCAGGTGTTGCAGGGTGTTAGATCAGTGTAGGTCAGCAGTTCACCTGACAAGCGTTCAACAGATGGAGATCACTCCCCTGGCACCCAGACAGGCTGAGGTCGCTCTGCACAGAGAGGAACACGCTCCAGAGAAGAAATACTCTACAATAAAATCAGAGGAGTCAGAAGCTGCTTACTTGAAGGTGTTCAAAACCATACACACAGCACCAAAAATGCTTATTCAGTTGTGACAGTAACCAAAAATCACATAAAATTCATAAATTCTTAACTTACATAGCAGATGGCAGAGCATCCTTCTTCCCTCACTTTTGTTTAGTGGACAGTTATTTTGGAAGACTCAAGCTTTGTGCTCCAAGGACAGTGCAAGACTCATATGTCCTTCACAAGAGGCCAAAGTGGTCTAAATCTATTTTGCATCACTTATGTCAAGCCTGGTTCACAGAGAGTGGTGCCACATCCATGGAGGATGTCACATCTCCTTGGAAAGTGTTCTCTAAAATTCCTCAGTACCTCCTTCTTCATGTATGACTTTTCCAAGTGTGATCCTGATGCCTGCATCCTACTCCTGCATCACACTCTGCTCTTATCAAGTGAAACCAATGGTGCTTAAAAGCTTTCATAAAAATACTTTTGGAAAAGCCTACATGAGAATTACCAGGTAAATGCTCAGCTCCTGATTTACAAAGGGTAGCAAATCCTGCACCTTGAGCACTTGCCTTTAACTTACAAAATATTCTTAGGAAAAGCAGAAGTTGCGAATGTGCAGAAGGCAGCAGGGAGAATGTCAAGTTTGGTACCCTGGCTCTAACATCAGTACAATCATGACCCTGTTTTGGGCACATCACTGTTGTCATCTCCAAGGATCCAGATTAAAGGGCTACCAGAAATTATGAATCCAGCCATCCATGATTGGTTTATCCGATCTGTTAGCTTTGGGATAATCAACACCATAATCCTCACTTTAAGCCAAACACAAAATCAGTCAGGTATCTCATGGATTGTAAGGATCAGCAAGGATCCCTCTGCTCTTTCAGGATCAGCATTATTTCAGAGACAGTTCAGCTGAAGCTTCTGTTTGCAGCACGTTTGCAGCTATAGCCTTAAGATTTCAGAGTGTGAATTACTGTGGTGACATGCTGAAGCAGAGAGAAATGGCAATGACCTGCAAGATACTGTTTGTAAGTGTGTTAACCCATTCATACCCACAGACATGAGCATTTCTCATGGCTAAAAGCAAACTGTACTAGACATCCTGCTTTAAGCAAGTCTCTGGAATTTTGGCCCATTGACATATGCAAGGAAAAATACTTTAAAGTCATAAAAATCAGAGACATAAAATTTAAACCAAGGGCTATTTTTAATATTTGCATATTTTTAGTAGTAGAGCCTTTCTCCTACTTTCTACTCAAACCATGTAACACACAAAACTGAGTAGCTCTCAAAAACTGCATTTGTCTACATTGCAGTTACCCATATTTTCCCCAAGATGATACCACTCAAAAACCAATTGAGAAACTTCCGTGTTTGGGGTTAGAACAAGCCTCAGCACTTCTACATTAGTGCTCCAGCAATATGGGGACCTGTCCTTGCTTTCTGATTTACTCACTAAAGTACCGCAGACTACCTCACAGAAGCTGAATAAATCTCAATTCTGGATGGCAAGATCTCCACTCTATTGAAGTCAAAGTGACTTTCCCCTATTAGATACAAATTGAAAGAGGATTTAATCTGCTTCCAGCATTAGGCTTTTGCATCTAGTTGGGATTTGGTTGTGCATTTTCATTTTAATGTCTAAATTCTAACATTCTTAAGAATCATGGCTGTTCCAAACTTCAGATCAGTAAGTAGGTATGAGAATTGCTAGATCTGACCTAGGTTTAAGTAACCCAAATTCTTGTCCCTACTATGTCCTATACCTATCCTTAGATCCTCAGAGCTGTGTAGGTAATATGGAATATTAGTCACAGTAACTTAGAATTTAGGCCGACACAATCTTGCCTATAGAGCATCTTATAAATGTGATATATTTATGTGTGATTGATGTAATATATAAAACACATTAGCTCTTACAGTATTTAATAAATGCTGAGAGCTAGCAATATCAAGACAGATTTATGATTTCCCCCAAGCTTTGTTTTAGCAGTGATAATCAAAAAAGACTGCTTGATTTAGATCATTTAACTGAATTTTTGTTCCGTGTGCACTTAATGTATATTTTAGTATATTTTTTCTTACTTTTAGCAAAATTGTATAGGTGCAGACACACACACAAATCAAAAAGTTGCCTGACTGCTTATTGCATCTTTTTAGGAACATGTTGGTATATCTCTATTCTAGAGAACATTTCACAGTTCAGTGATAGAAAATAGTTTGCACTTCATTTATGCATGTACTAATTTTAGATTAAGCAGGACCACATAAATCCTCCTGAAAAATGATGCAATTAAGTCAGACCTATTTGTAAAAAGGACAACATGTGGCTGTAATTATAATGGCAAAGCATTCAGTAACACTTACTAGTGTTATTGGTGCGCTGACTTATTACTGTGCTAAGAGGAGTTTGTGCAACATGCTGAGTAAGTCTTTACAGGAATAAATCTTAATATTTCCCCAAAAGCCACTAAAAACAATCCTCTGTTGCATTTCTGATCAACTTCCACAGTGATTTGCTTTTTCAAAACGGTCACTTTTGGTGTAAGCAAAGCAGTAAGAGTATTCTGTGCCACTGCCACTGCTATGGTGGGAGTAACTAGTTACTCAATTAGGTTTCTTCCAGAGTAAAACTGTTGTCCAGGAGTTCATATGCACCAAAGTTCTCAAATATATGTTTCAGGTGACCAATAATCCATAAAGATGCATAATGCTCATATTTCATGATGCCATTGCAGTTTAAATGAGGATTTAGATTCCTCAGTGCATTTCTAAACCCTTGGCAGTCCCACAAGAGCAATTGTGGCCTTCACCAACACAACCTGTGATAAAAACTGGCTATGCACCCCTGTGTCCCTGTCCATGACCACAAAGACTATCCCACCATGATGCAAAGTAAGGCAACGAGCTAAGTTTAAGACCATTTTTTGCTGTTTATATTCAAACTTAATTCTCCATCTGCACCTCAGCTGTAAAAATCCGCACTGTTCTGTGAACATCCCTGCTTTATGCTGCCCATAAGTCACACTTTCCCTTGTGGTGACTGATACACAAGAAGGATTTTGCACTCTTGAGATGCCTATGAGGACGAACAGGACAGACAGAAGTGTCCTAGGAAGGAGAACTGGTCCAATCCATCTAGGATGTTCCCCAGGATATGGAACAGCAGTGATCCAAGTCTCTAATTTTCACATTCAGCAAAATCCACTGCAAGCTCAGCTCCACAAAGTGTGTACTGAAGGTGAGTCTGGGCTCAAACACAGGCTCAGGTCCATATTCAAAGTGCAATACATACATACCAACTGCCCTGTACAGGGCTTTTCACACAGTTGTCGTTCTACCACCTCCTTCACAGTGAAATGTTCATGTGCTCTAGGTTTGGAAAGAGAAGTGGACACCTCAGAACCCAATGCCACCAGGTAGGCCAGTGATGATAAGGCTCTTTCCAGCTCAGCCATGGAAGTCTGGCTGCCACATGCAAGAGGGATTTAATTTATTGTTAATATTTCACTGTCAAATTTTTCTTACTGATGCTGTGGATGATAATCCAGAAGAATGATAAAGCTTTGCCAATTACCTGTGGAGCATTTAAAGGTAAAAAAATAAATGAATGTACTTTTTTTTACTTTGAATCCCCACTCCTTCTGATTTGCTGCTTTGTTCTCCAACATAACAGGAAAAGCTTATTTTCATAGTTGCATGCCTTCCCCTAAACTAGATCAGAAAATCCCTCTCATTTCCAAAGGGCTCATTTCCTTCAGAATTAAGACACTGAGTCAGTTGATTCTTCAGTTCCAGTGACCTTTCTTCTCCTATTAGCTGGGGGGCTTGGTTCTTTCACAGGAGAGCACGTAATATAAACATAATCAGCCCTTTCACATCGTGTAGCTCTGCTGCAGCAGGAACTTCCTTACTTTGAGATTTAACTTTTTTCTGATACACTCCAGCTAAAGTAAGATCAATCCATAAAAAGGCAAAAAATATGAAAGGATCTTAAAGACTAACATTCATTAAAACATCACTAAAAGTGCACCTGTGTCTTGTCATTTCAAAATTAATACAAGGCAAGGTATGTGATCCCTTTTGGTAATTAATTCAGCCCTCTCAGATTCCCCTTTCCCCTCATGTTAATTAGCACAGAAAATCCTCACCCAGACAAACAGACAAAATAGCCACAGGACTACCTTGTGGAGCAACACACTTGCAGGAGGAGAAAGGGCGAAGCTCTGCCTTGGTAATTTAAACACCTGAGTGCCTGAAGCATGCAGGTGTGAGGGAAATGCTGCAGAAGTGATGCAAGCATTTAAAAATGCCATCACAGTTTGCCTGAAAATTCAAAATCCTCATTAGTCATATGAATAATTTATCAGCTGCCCCACAAGGCAGGGAAGGGACACTTTTGTTGTGTACTCAACTAGCAATGAGGTCAGTTACCACCAAAAAGAGAAGGGAGAAGCAAAATGTTTCTGAAAAATGGAAATTTGCTCTCAAAGTGTGGTCATTCCTTGCCAGAACTTTTACAGAGGTATCATAAAGAGACCAGTCATGGAGGCACAGGGTATCCCTTCCAAGTACTGCTCAAAGCAGTTAATGCACTTTAAAGAATTGCAGTGACTTTAATCCACCTCTTATTTGGTTTAAATAACAGGTATGGTGTGTGTGCAAAATTAAAAAAAAAAATTAAAAAAAATCCGGTATTAGTAGTTAAACATTCTCAAAAATAGATTTGAAATTAGCTTGAGGAAGTTTGAAAGTACTGTAAGGAATAAATGCTGCTTTTAATCTTTCAAAGCTCAAACTGTAGCATTCCTGTTATCTTCTCCTGCCAACTGTAAGCAGTGTACGGGTCTTTAGGCACCCAGCAGCGTTTCTTGGAAGGGC